CCCAGTCGTGGGACGAGTCCCACCACGTCTCTGTCAGCCCTATTTTAGCTCACTGAAGAGTTCCCTGTTTAGCCAAGCTGGTCTTCTGCCATACACACTTGTCTTCCTGCGCATTGGAATGGTTCACTCCTGCACCCTTATTGCTGAAGAACAATAGGAAATGGACAGATGTATACAATGAAAGGTGAATGGATGGTTATGGATGCCCACATAAACAGCAAGATGAAGGATATGGAAATGTGCAAAGAGGGCAAAGCTACGCCAACTCAGGCAGAAGATTTCAGGTTTACAAGTGGCTCACTCAGGATATGGAAAGTTGAACTCTTCACTGCATGTGCAACAGCACAGATGTGAAAGGGTGAGAGGATCTTGGTTTCCCCTTTAGGGCACTCAGCGTCACCCATCAGCATCTTGGGGACATGCAAATACCTAGCAGTATTCATGAAGTGAGCTTCCTAGAGCTCATAACTCAAATAGAGGCACAAATGAGCAATTTTTAACATTCCTGGCTTTTGCCCATCAACATTTCTTCCTAGTTTGTTCCCCCTCCCCCCAAGTTTCCGGGTAAGAACTGCTAAGAACATTACTACAATATCAGGTGGTCACCGTATGCTCTAACCCTCAAGCTCTGCACTTTTGACCCTTTGCTGCTAACACTTTACTAAAACTGAAGCCATGTAATGCAGGGTAGCTTGTAGCTCATTAAACACTTGGCTGCTGCCAGACACAATGGCCATGCCCTGTTCTGTCTGCTTAGGAACATAGCAGCCTGTCTGCTTAGCAACAGAGATCACCAGGAACATATCACCCCAGTGCACTGCTTTACACTGCTTCCCTACTGAACACAGAGCTCAATTAAAGGTTTCTTTTCTGATGCTCAAAATCTTTTATGGGATTGCCCTAGCTATCTACCTTCCAACTGTGGCCTAAACAACAGCTACATGAGACTGGAACCATGGATTGTTTGGCCAGTATGGGGGCTGATGGTACAGGAGAGAGCATTGACAGGTGATGCACATAGACCATGGAAGTAACTTCTGTGAGAGAGAAGAATGAGTGCACAACTACCACTAAAGACAAAACATGTTGCTAAAATTGCCTTTTCTCTAGGAAGTCTCCATGTCTCCAGTCATAATCAGGTTTAGGAACAATTAAAAAAAATAAAAATTGAAAAGTTGCAGGCTAATTTTCCTACAGGCTGAAAAAGATGAAAGTTCTGTGCACATGTTCTTGCCTGGATCTCTCATTAGCCATGTTGCACCTGTCTTCCACGTGGGTAGAAGAAATGGAATTGAATAGGGCTAGATCAGACAGTGTTTTTCTCTCCCCTCCCCCCATGCCCCCTTCTTCACGGAGGATACTCAGATAATTAAAAAGACTTCATATGATTTGTGTTCTTTCATATATCAGTTCTCAGATCCCTAGAGCCTGTCCTCCAGTCCTTTTAGGGACAGGGTAGGCATTGGTACCATGATGTTTTTTCTGGAAAAAGGGTACTGGGGACAGTTCCTTCAGGGACTCAGCAAGCTGGGGCTAGTTTTTAGGA